AACCCACCCGATCTTATCTTCAAAAGGCTCCACTTTTTCCAAATTTGAACACCCCCCCCCCCCCAAAAAAAATAAATAAATAAATAAATAAATCCTAGTTACAGGCCTGCGCTTTCAGGGGAAAGCAGAAAGAGGAAGGAAAAGCGCGTTTCTTCATCTCAATGAAACCAGGGTGACAGTTATTTTCACTTAAAAAGAAGTTTTCAAAATTTCAATCAACGTCATGTGAAGCGTGACTGTTGGTGTCACCCTGTGGACTTTTAGGCCTAGTTAGGGAGGGGCCTAGGTAGGGCAACTCAGCCTGTAGTTAGGCCTATAGTTTCTCTTTCTCTCTAGCCTTTGGTATTACCGTACCTATCTACACTTCATAAAAGTGGGTACTAGCTTTTGTTGTTGTAGTATTATACTAACATGTAATACAAACAAGAAGGTGACCCAGGGCTGGAAAATAAGGGTTATTTGGTCGCATTTGCGACATGATTTTTTAAGGTGCGACAAGGAATTCAACTTTGTCGCGCTCAGTGCGATAAGTTCATTTGATAGCGCGAGTAGATTTTGTAAGCGGCAGGAAGGTAATTTCCCTTCAAATCCCAATTATTTACAACTTGTACAGCCCATTATTTTCAGTCAGGCAGTACGCAAAACATGCTTTCATTCATTTTACCTGTACTGTATCTACCAATCAGCATGACCTAGACTGTTAAAGCATAGAGAAAATAGCTCTATGTTAAAGTGTGACGTCGTACACTAAAACCGTGTCGATGTGCGCTCATCTTATATTATTCTTGGGTAAATAAGCGATCTCCGTCAAAGCGGATTGCACAATTTTGTTACTATTTTATGGAGTGCTACCTTACTTGTACCTCCTCGTAATTTTGAAAGTTTCCTTATCGTATTTGTTCATAAAATAGAATATGTACCGAAATTGCAAACGATCGTATACAGTAATAACTCAACGGTAGCACTTTATAGACTACTTGAAAAATTTATTACCACAAGCTTTCATGTACACAGTGAAAGAATATGTTTGTAATAAATAAAACCACGATGAAAATGCTTATACTGTATTTAGTTTCAAACACACGTGTGTGGCCTATATTATAAATAAGATAAGCCCTATGTCGTATTGTTTTCTATATGGGGAGTGGGGTGGGGTGGGTATGGTAAATTACTAACCGGGAAAATAAATACCCACTCTGACCCGAGACCCCTGATACGCGCCTGGTGTTAGCACCAATGTGTGCGGACAGGGGATGTGCCCCCTCTGAAGCTGGAAATCTTATTTTTGCAAAATAAATTGATGCAATTTGCTATTATAGGCCTAATCAATAAATTCCTTATCAACCGATATAACCTTAAACATTCTTGGAGACATAACATTACTGTCGTAGTACTCAGTGTGAAATGTGGCTCTCCTTGCAAGCACATCTAACATCTAAGGAAATAAGAGTTTAGATTGGTACCAGATAAAATAATTTTGTGATCAACATTAATACATTATGCTAATTTTCATCTTTGTAAGCGCATAAGACAGTGTAAATTATTTCTGTGACAGTCTTTTGAAGTTTGTAAAGCTCCGTTTTATCCCATACATAGTCAAAATATTGGGGGGGGGGTGATACAATGGACCATCCCCCCTTGTCAAATATTGGGGTGGATATATCCCCCATCCCTCCCGGGATCTACGCCTATGTTCGAAGATGACACCCAAGAACGTATGTGGGTTGAACTGTCATTATCTAATCTTATTGGCCTCTACTACAGACCACCTAATTTTGGTTCTTCTGTCAATAAATATGCTTGCGAAATCGGTTGAAAACGCCCTTTATAAATACCGGATTGAAATGGAATAGCGAAGATGTGCCTCTATCTAACTTAAATCAAGCATTTTTGGACACCGTCTTGGACAGCAATCACCTCTATCAGTGTAACGACTTACCTACGCACATAGTACCGGTACTATGCAATAAACGTTTGGGTAATCATTGGTTTGTATATACTGGTCATAATATTTTTAATTCGGATTACGAGTCTGTTTCTGTGTTTTATACTTTTACTACTAATGTTTTTAATTGCAATATTAACTATAATAGACCTATGTATAATTTTGAACGACTTAATAAGGATAATCTTAAGCAAACACTTGACCATATCCCTTGGAATATCCTTGATCTCACTGACAACATAAACGAGGCTACCTCTTTATTTTACGATTTAATTTTTGCTTGTATTAAGGATGTAGTTCCAATCTATAGGCCGAAGAGGAAGCTTCCTCTATGGTTCGGCCATGAACTATATACTGCACATTTGTACAAAGAAAAATGTTTTAAAACTAAGAGACGTACAAAAACTAAACTCGACAATTAGCGCTTTAGAATGGCCAGGTAAAACTTTAAAAAGCTTCATGATTTTAGATACAAGAATTACATCGAATGTATCTCTAATGAAATGAATATGAATCCTAAAAGATTTTGGTCCTGGTTTAGAGCGTCTCGTAAATCATCGTCGGCAGTACTGTCTGTTCTAACTCATGCTAATAATAATTATGTTAATTCTATCGACAAAGCCAATGCTTTTAATTGTTTTTTCAGCTCATTCTTTAAGGATAACGCTCAACTACCTCGGACCGATTTGTTCGAATCTCCTGACTACCCACTGGATAATCTGTCCTCCGTTACTGTTACCTCCGATGCAGTCTCAAGTCATCTCTCTAACTTGACGTTCATAAGGCTATTGGTTGCGACGGTGTTAGTAATTATTTTCTTAAGGCTGCTATTCCGCTTGCTGTCCTCCTTAAAAAGATTTTTGATAGGTGTCTGAGTGCCGGAAAATTTCCTGAACTTTGGAAGAAGGCAAATAATTGTCCAATTCACAAAGGGGGGGGGGGGGGTCTCGTCAATCAATTAATAATTACCGTCCTATTTCTCTGCTTTCTTCTGTTTCTAAAATTCTTGAACGCATTATTTTTACTCAGCTAATCAATCATGTTACTCCAGTGTTGAGTCTTTTTCACCATGGTTTTATACCCGGGAGATCTATGCAAACAAATCTAGCACACTTCTTACCTGCTGCACTTAATTCCATTAATTCTAAATCATAATGTTCATAGATTATTCCAAAGCGTTTGACTGTTTTTCCAATAAACAATTGGTTTTTAAAATTTAAAAAAAATTGGCATTACTGGTCCCCTACTTATTTACTTTCTGATTATGTGTTTAACCGCAGTCAACGCGTTGTTATTGATGGTTCTTGTTCTGATTGGAAATGTGTTCCCTCCGGGGTGCCCCAAGAATCCATTATTGGACCCCTTCTATTTATATTATTTCTTAACGATCTTTTTTTCTTGAACACTCCCAATGCCTTATGTACGCCGACGACTTGAAACTGTACCGGACTGTAGACACGGGGGCTGACGCCGTGGATCTTCAGAATGGCTTCGAATCGGTTATTAAATGGAGCGAGTTTTGGGCTTGTCAAATGCAAGTCAATGACTGTTTCTCTTAAAAAGAAACATCTCTTTTTCCTACAATGTACATGGAGTTACCTTGGAGAAAGTTGGTCATTACAAAGGTACCGTAATTGTTAAATTTCTGTAAGCACATTGACCACATTGTTCGGAAGGTAACAGGACACTTGGCTTCATCTGGAGAACCAGGGAAATAAATAGCCCACGCGTCATGGTTAATTTATATAAAACGTTAGTTATGCCTATTTTTGAATTCTCTAGTGTGATTTTCTGTTCTGCTTCTACATCCCAGTTGGCTCGAATCGATAAAATTCACTCTAAATTTTGTTGGTTTTGTTATGAAACGTTTTAACTATCCTTGTCCTCTTGTTCCTCCTAATCGTTGATTTTTATTTCATGTCATGTTTTTTTTACAAATGTTTAAATTCCACTTCAATTGTAATTTTATTAATTACTGTACTTTAGTCTTAGAGCATGTACTAAACGTCTACGTAATCGTCCCATTTTTGCTGTACCTTTTAGTCGAGTTAACCAATGTAAACGTAGTTTTATTTCTAGGCTTCCTGTGCAATACAATTATATTTCTTCACTCGATAATGTCCACGTTGATATTTTCTTCCACAGCTACGCCAAATTTCGTCGGATTGTTCACCAGACGGAGCCTTGAGTTTTTGAGGGTGGTTAGGTGGTTGTTCTTCTTGGCGTGGCTGTGGCAGTTAAAGCCTTTTTGTCTTCTTTTTTGTACATTTATATTTTTACTTTTTTATATAAATTTATATATTTTTGGCTTATATTCGGCCATTGTACAGTATTGTAAACAGTTTCACTTACTTACAGGCCGATGTACAGGTACTGAATATTAGTAAGAGTCATTTATTTATTTATTTATTTACTCAAATCCGACACTTATCAGAACGGTACGCAAGACAGGAAACAGAGTCAAAATTAAAAATATCAATATTGGGATAGGCCGGAACTAAATTATTATAAGATATATTTAATCTACTAATAAACCCCTTTTTTAAAACATTAACTCTACTAAAAGGAATATAAAAAACATTGTTATTTCTTAAATTAGGAACAGGAACACGGAGGCCAAAACAAGAAACTAAATTACAATCACAAATGGAATGCATACATTTAAATAGAAAAATAAGATCTTTAAGATATCTGCGGGACAGAGGTGAAAGTATAGAAAGGTGATAATCGTTATTGCAAGTATTTTTAATGTCATTGTTTAAATTATTCTCAATGTTCTGGTTGTGGCTGATGTAGCGCAAAAACCTTGAATGAAGCCGCTCAATGCGCGAGGCTTGAGTTTTTGAGAACGAATTAAAAATAATAGAACAGAAATCTAAATTAGGTTGAATAAGTGTGAGGTAGAGATGAATCTTAGAATGGGTATCCAGGTATTTACAATTGCGCCACACCAGCCCAAGCAGCCTATTGCACTTTTTAAGAAGACTTTCAACGTGAAAAGAAAATGTGAGAGAACAATCTAAAATAATACCGAGATCACGATGATGCTGCACTTTATTAATAGGATTGTCAACAACTAAATAAATATAATTAATTTTGTTTTTATTTAAAGTGATGGTAATGGTATTGCACTTCTTATGGTTTAACACAATACGGTACCCCATAAGTGCGACCAAGAACACAGTTTGTCTAGGTATCCTTGAAGCTTGTCAGCGTCATCTAATTTTTCCACTTTTTGGAAAATGTTTAAGTCATCTGCAAATATAAGACATTTTGAGTTTTTAAATATAAAGGGAATATCATTCACATACAGGTTAAAAAGAAGAGGCCCTAAAATGGAGCCTTGAGGGACACCGGAGTTGACCGGAAGCCACCCCGATGTCTCGCCTTCAATAACAACTCGCTGCTGCCTGCCATTTAAAAAATCTCTAAACCATGACAAAAGATTAAAATGAAAACCATATTGTCTTAATTTCAAAATAAGTAAATTGTGGGGAACTAAATTAAAAGCTTTTAAGAAATCGGTATGAATAATATCGCATTGCCCCTTGTCATTAATGGAGTCATACATATAGCCAGGAGACAAGCTAGGTTTGTCTCGCATGACCTACCGGGAACGAAACCACAAGGGGAGATGGCAGGAGAGACATGAGACCAAATATGAGTGAATATAATTTTTTCAAAGAACTTAGAGATGATAGGCAGCAGCGAGATGGGTCTATAATTAGTCACGGACTTCTTAGTACCGGATTTGTGAATAGGAACAATGTTTGATTGTTTCCAAACAAAAGGAAACTTACCTGTAGTCAGTGATGTATTAAAGATATGACAGATATCAGATATTGATAAAGGCCTGGCACACACCATTAAAACATGGTTACTGAGTTCATCACAGCCAATTGCTTTATGAATTTTAAGCGACGTTAGAAGTTTATAAACAGACTCAGGCTGGATGACTGGTAACGCCAGGACACCAAGAGAAGCTTCAGGGAGAGCTAGATGCTGTTCAGTAATTGGAAAAACATCTTTTTGAAAAACAGAATGAAAAAAGGAATTGAAAATAATAGCTTTTTCTTTAGCAGTTTCCGCGACCCTGTCCCCATACGACATTACAGAGGGATAAGAAGATGACTTGGTTTTTGTCTTCATCCAAGTCCAGAAACGTTTTGGATTATTTCTCACGTTATCTGAAAGTAAACGAATATATACAGAATATTTATTTTTGGTTGATGTTTTAAAAGTTTTCCTTGCAGAATTGAAAGCTTCTTTATATTGCACTAAATTATATTTTTTCCACATTCTAAAGAAATGTTCTTTTGTTTTAACACAGTCCTAATCTCATTGTCAAACCAAGGTGACATTTTTCGTCTGAATGTCTTAATTGGGACAAGGTCACGGAGTGCAGCGTCAATTAAATCATAAAATAACGTAACACTTTCATCAATATCATTACCATTATTAATAATGTCAAAAGGAATACTTTCGAACTGACTTATGAGGTCGTTGTCGTTAATAGCTTTAAAATTATAAAATTTATTAGATTTTTAATGAAATTTATAATTAGTTATTTGAAAATTAAAAGTAAATTTGAGAGATAAATGATCAGAAGAAAATATATCATGACCAACAACAATGTCAGAAATAAGATCGTAAGAATTGCATAAAATGACATCTAGAATATGGTTATTGCACGTTGGCTTCACATTACATTGAAATAAATTAAAACCATTTAATAAACTGTCTATAAAAAGTTCACCAATAGAGTTCATGGGAGCTGATCCAGTCCCGTCACTTGTCCATGTAATATTGGGAAGATTAACATCCCCGACCAGTATTAGTTGATGACGAGGACATGTAGATATTGCGTCCTCAACTGACTGAGCAATTTTAAGTACACTATCTCGACTGCAATTTGGTGCTCTGTAGACAATTCCTATGAGGACTATTTTGCTTATTACTAAACTTAACTTCAACCCATAAGAATTCCAGGTCTGCGTGTTCCAGATGATCCAACCGTCGTGACTTAAATTTATTTGAAGTTAATAACATAACACCACCACCACGCCTTCCATCATTTCTGTCTTTCCTATGCAAAGTGAAACCAGGGCAATAAAGTTCTGAGTCAGATATATTAGAATTTAACCAGGTTTCAGAGAAGCCGACAAAATCAAATGAATTATTCAAAAGATGACCTTGAAATTCAGAATTGAATATGTCCATTTTCTTTTTTATACTTCTAATATTTTGATAGTAGGAGTGTGGTGTGGGTTTGTTACCTGGAGTGGAAGAGCTTGTAGAGTTAGTAAAACGTTGATCTGTTAGGTTGGTACTTGGACCAGGGTTAACTTCAATGTCTCCACATCTGGCAAGTGTTAGTTGGAAAGTTGAAACACATGAACAGGCAGAGAAATATGGAACCATAGTACCACTGTACTTGATAGACAAAAACACCCTCCATCGACGTTTGTGATTCCGATTAAATTCTAGGCCGGTATTGCAAGTATTGATAGTATCGATAGCCTAACGCTTGACCATTGTTCACTTATGTGGGTCACTGGCAATGGCTATTGTGTGTGAACACATAAAACTATACACAGTTGAGCCTAGCAAGTGGCTGATATTTACAGGTAAATAACTACCAAACGGTGAAAAATAACGGGTATCACCATAGTTTACACTAATAGTGCTTGTTTCAGGGTAATATAAGCAGCTATTTAAAATACCTGTATGCGTTAAAATGCACATAAAAAAGCAAAGGTACAGAGCAGTTGTTAACGAACTTGTTCTGACAGCCATCTAAATCGCACTTTCTGCTGGTAATTTTCATGAGATCCGTGACTAATTTTAGGATACCTTTTTTCTCGATGGATTTGGCTAGATGGACCAATTTAGATAAAATATAGCTCCTATATACCTCCCAGATATGAGGGGGTGGGGGAGTCCCGTTTTGGGGGCGTTTTTCAAAATGGCCGCCTGTTGATTTGGACGCTTGTATCTCGATAACCACTGGTCAGAGAGACTTTATTTTGGTCTCAAATTGTTCACAATATGCATGTTGCTATTTATTTTAATACAAGTTTGACCTTTGACCCTGTATTGTCATATCTCGGTATCTACTGGTCACAGAGATTCACAATTGATTGCAAATTGTTCAGGAGATTCACGTTTATATTCGTCTTAATGAAAAAAAATATTCAAATAGCCACTGGAAATGGTACATTCCGACCTTTGACCTATTGTGGGTCATTCCATGTCAAATCAACCAGATTAAAAAAAAATCCTCTAAGACCCACTAAAAAGAGTCCTCAAAAAGGGGCGGGGTTCTTCAAGATGTGCAAACGCAATTTACTTCAAATTTGGAAGCTTATAACTCGGGATTGGTAATAGCTATCAAAGTCAAGCTTGGTATTCTAACTTATTTTTTTCCATATTTCCCAAATATGGCCTTAGATTAATAGTTACCATTTCCCTTTTGAAGTGCACTTAAATTAGCCACTTTTTTAACGATGCAAATTTTTTGGTGATTTTCAAGGTCAACCTGCGTCCAAATGAGTGTGTATGTACACCTCATATTACGGATATATTATCTATGTGTAGTTGTCTCTAGCCACATGCAAGCGCAGGCTGATCAAATCAATTAAAATTGAATGGCATATATTCAAAGTTGGGACCAGGTTGGGACCAGATCTATAAAAGTGAAAAACGCCAATGTTTCTCAACAACGGATCGTCATCATGTGGACAGTTAAAATCTTTTCTTAAATTTACCCCAGTTAATCAGATACATTAGATCTACCTATAAACCAAATTTCAGATTTGGTACTTAGATACTATGTTGAAAACACATATTTCAACATCATAGGAAATCACAAAAGTTCTTAAGAGTTGGGTCATTCCATGCCAACTCACTTTGTTTAACGATGCAATTTTTTGTGATTTTCGAGGTCACTCTGCGTCCATATGAGTGGGTATATACCCCTTATATTACAGATATATTATACATAGGCGTAGATCCCGGGGGGGGATGGGAGGGATATATCCCCCCCCCAATATTTGACAAGGGGGATGGTCCATTATATCATCCCCCATTGTATCATACCCCCCCCCCCCAAGACTGTCACAGAAATAATTTGCACTGCCTTATGCGCTTACAAAGATGAAAATTAACTTAATGTATTAATGTTGATAACAAAATTATTTTATCTGGTACCAATCTAAGCTCTTCTTTCCTTAGATGTTAGATGTGCTTGCAAGAGCCACATTTCACACTGAAGGGTGTGTACGACATCAGTAATGTTATGTCAATTCCAAGAATGTTTAAGGTTATATCGGTTCATGAGGAATTTATTGATTAGGCCTATAATAGCAAATTGCATCAATTTATTTTGCAAAAACAAGGTTTCCAGCTTCAGAGGTGGGGTGGGGGGCACATCCCCTGTCCGCACAAGGGCACACATTGGCGCTAACACCAGGCGCGTAACAGGGGTCTTGGGTCAGAGTGGGTATTTATTTATTTTTTATTTCAACCATCCTTAAAGAGGGTAACCCCTCTAGTTTAGCCCAGTAGGTTAACTGATATTCAGGGGCCCTCTTTAATGAAATTAAAGAACAGTACAAACAACATCATTACATCGTCGTCGTCATCGTCATCATCATCATCATCGTCGTCGTCATAATAATAATAATAATAATAATAATAATAATAATAATAACAATAATAATATTAATAATAATAATAATAATAATAATAATAATAATAATAATAATAATAATAATAATAATAATAATAATAATAATAATAATAATAATAATAAAAGCAACATACAATCCTCATTTCCCGGTTAGTAATTTACCATACCCACCCCACCCCACTCACCATATAGAAAACAATACGACATAGGGCTTATCTTATTTATAATATAGAACACACAGGTATGTTTGAAACTAAATATAATCATTTTCATCATGGTTTTATTTATTACAAACATATTCTTTCACCATCTATACACATTGAGGCCCCTTTTTTAGGTTAAAATGATCTATCTTAACTTTGTTTTTCTTGAGTTTGGGACTATTATGTGTTTAAGTAACTTAAAAGGATAAAACTAAAAAATACGCGCCAAGCGCGCAAAATATTTTTGTGTTTTTAATTCTAATTTCGTCGAATTGATGAAAACTCCCTAAAATGTGCAATTTATAGAGGAAATTGGACTACCGTAACAAGAAATGCGCGCAAAGAATTTGAGAATTTTAGGCACTTTCAGAGGATGCATTTGTCAAGGGGTGGGGAAAGATTTTCCAAAGATAGATATTTCCCCCTTATCCCCCGGTGTTTTTAATTCTAATTTCGTTGGAATTGATCAAAACTCCCTAAAATGTGCAATTTTTTAGAGAAAATTGGGCCATGTTAACAAGAAATGCGCGCGAAATTTGAGGTTTTTAGGCACTTTCAGGGGATGAAAGGGCATTTATAAAGAGGTGGGGAAGATTTTTCAAAGATAGATATTTTCCCCTTGTTCCCCAGTGGTTACGCCATCGGGCAGCGTAGATCAAAAGAGTTATGACAGTTTTTGAAGTGGAGAATTGATTACAGGGTGTTGTGAGTCTGGTCATTATGATATCTTCCCTTTTATTCTTGTCTTTATTTTTCTCTTCTCTTTTTCTTTCCTTTTCTTTTCCTCTTCTTTCTCTTTCCCTCCCTCTCCCCTCTTTCTTTTCTCTTTTTACCCAGCCCGGTACGACGGCTTGGTCAGCCCGGTAAAAGCTGTCAGGGGAGGGGAAGTTTTCCCCTTCCCCCGCGCCTGTTACGACACTAGCTAACACGCCAATCATCCCCCCCCCCCAATGAAAAATATTTTTCTACTTCACTGATATTATATATGTGTAGTTATCTCTAGCCACATGCAAGCACAGACTGATCAAATCAATTAAAATTAAATGGCATATATTCAAAGTTGGGACCAGATCTATAAAAGAGTAAAACGCCTATGTTTCTTAACAACGGATCGTCATGTGGACAGTTAAAATCTTTTCTTAAATTTGTCCCAGTTAATCAGATATATTAGATCTACCTATAAACCAAATTTCAGCTTTGGTATTCAGCTCCTTCATGGTTAGATACTATGTTGAAAACTACACATATTTTAACACAATCCGGGCCCGTATCCAGCTTGTTGAATGGTGGGGGGGGGGGTGCGTTTCGCGAGCGCAGCGAGCAACCAGGCTGCTTGCCAGAGGAAGCTCAGGGCCTCCGGTCGGGGTCCAGGGGCAGAAGTCTCCGGAAAAATTTGCTTTCTTACGTCCTAGTAGACTAATTTGAAGACATTTTATCATGTTAATCTCTATGTCCGTGAACACAGCGATAGGGCCTATCAAAAAATTACCAATGGAAGACATGGAGAAACAAGTAAATTGTTTCCCAAATGAAAAATACTATACTGTATAAATTCGTAACCATTACGAATAAAAATTCAAAATCAATTCTGCTTTTAAATGAATAATAGCAAAGTTTGATATAAAGAGTGGATTAAAAGCGACTGTAAATGAGCTGATTCAAACAACTAGAAGCATTTGAAACAAATTAATCAACATTTTTATTCTTGGCATCGACAGAAAACATATACAGAGGTATAATGTATACGCTATCTATCCATTGAACCCGTGACGGGGTATACTTTATAAAAGGATCATCATGATACGAGTAACGTTGTACGTTTTAATAGCAACATCACTTACATTTTTTTATAAGAGCACATTTTATAAGAAGAATGAGGCTGTCGAAATTGCGGAAAATTAAGAACAAAATAAGAATAAATTAAGGCTAATTTAAAATGCCACAAGTGAATTTTTTATTTTTTAGTAGTAGTAGAAAAACCATTACGACAGGAACGATTATACTTGTCTAAACCGGGGTGTCATTCTAGCATTTTGACTTCATTGCTATACACTGACATACCAGCTGGTAGTTTGGGGAAGATACACTTAGACGATAACGTGCATATAACGTGTGTGTGTATGTTTGTTGTGTTATGTTGCTGGCAGTACAAAAGATTGCGCTTGTGGAGTCAGCGCTCTAGTATTCTTATTGTAACTCATTTGTACATTCATACAATCTTAATACTGTACTGTTATGTGATTCATTTTAATAATGATTCTGGGAACAAGGTCACATTTTTTTAAATATAATTAGTGGACGTTTTTCGAATTGTTGGGGGGGGGGCCCCAACGCCCCCCCCCCCCCCCCGGATACGGGCCTGCAATGGGAAAGTTTTTAAGAGTTGAGCCATTCTATGTTAACTCAACAAATGCATTACACCATGGGTCATAATTTTTTTTTTTCACACTGACTCAGTGTGAACTGAAAACGTGAAATTTTGAGACTCGCCAATTCGTTCATTTTTCTGTAGCATTTTTTCTGTAGCT